GTCAATTTCTGTGATCCCACCCGCCCGACCCTGGGCGATTTAATATCGACTGGATTATATACGGCCGGCGACCGTCCACCGGACGGTGCCCGGGGCTGGGCGCAGAAGTGCGCACCCCGGCACCGGCACCGGATTTTGCGACGGTGCGCCTGGCCGGGCGCATTTCCTGCGCTTCGACCAAAAAGGGCGTATGCACCTTAGTAGGAGTTTTGGCTAACGCCGTTTAGCACAACGCTTGTTCGGTATGGCATTGCTCGCACTTCCCACCTCCCGCTCCTCACCCCGGGACTCACCTGCCGCCACTGGACCACCTCCCACCCGTTCTACCTGTCACCTTCCACCTTTTCACTCTCCGGCCTTACCCCTCCCGTTTGATCTCCCGAGGTGGGAGGCGGGAAGAGGTGAGAGTCTGCCAGGCGCATCCAAACACAAAGAAAAATCGCTTCGGCTGGGTGGACACCGACTTGGACAGGCCGGTGCTCCGCCACAGCTCCATGTCACTCTGCATGAGCACAGTGCTTCAGTGGCTCGATGGTGCATTCAGCGTTAAACGATCTGCAGCCGGCACTGGCCCGAACGAGCGCACATTGCCCAGCAGTGATGTACAGAGCCTTGCGGGCTGCTGGCCAAAGTTTGCCAAAGCCCGCTGAAATGCTGAAGGCGCTCCGCTTTGGTCATTCCGCACTCTGCGAATTGGCCTGCGGTGGCAGGTGCCACTTCCCAGCGAGCCTTCGACATCCGGCCTGGTGCGACGTTTTGCCTCAGACCCGACCAGGGCCGGCTGGCTGCAAGGCGACCGCTAGACCATGGCTGAGCTCTAAGACCGCGGTGCTCAGGTAAGAGAGAACCTCTTCAAGAAGGCCGATTTTCAGTTTTTGCAAAGCACCGTGTGCCTTGAGGGCGCACCCAGAGCCGTCTCATGGCTTCCGCGGCTCGTCTTGCGGTCGCTTTTTGTCTAGAGACTCAGAGTCTCTAGGCTACCGCGGTTCTCAAGCATCTCAAGCGCCAAGAAAGTCCGGTACCTGGAATCGACCTAGAATCTAGAAAGTCTGTGTTGGTGAGGATCTGAATGGAGGGCCCTGAGGCTAAGGCATTGCAGGAGGTTAGAGAAAGGAGGCAAAGAAGATTGATGCAGAAGCAGCTGCTTTGAACGGAGATGTGCTCTGCCACGAAAGCCGACACAATATGACACAATGCACCAGCAGCCAATTGTCAAGTGCACAAGTTGCGCTGTCGTGGATTTGATTGGATTGTGGCACCTAAGTTTGCTGGCGACTTGCTGTAGATGTCAATGTGTTTTTCTCGCTTAACTTTATTTCATATGCTTCACTGTGCAGTTCGTTGCGACATGTGCATAGGGGCCCGATCGACGGATGTGGATGCACCTGTATTTGGTGGCGGAGTTGGGTGAAGTTTCACTGTGCAGGGCCTCGCAGGCGGGCCCAGACAAATTGGTCTCTGGACCGGCATTCGAAGCACGTGCCCTGGCCAAGACTAGAGGGAATTCGATCATGCTTAATGTGTTACCATGGCTAGTGGTCTTCTCCTACACGTGGTCCCAAACATTCTCGCACGGCCTTTGCTCCCTCCTTCTTTAGGTTCTTCATCATCTCTTTACTCTGATGCTCAGTTTGCGATGCAAATGTTGCTGCACCAACTTATATAATACACCTCAGCGGAAACCTCCTAAAGCCTTGCAGTTTCAGAGTGAATGCTTGTTGTGTTGAGCAATTCTCTATCCTAGCGGCAGGATGCTCGTCATGTTCTCTGTGGGAAGCCAAAGATTCAACCAACACGGCAGATGCTGGCATTTTGTTAACTGCGGCGGAGGCAGCGCTGTAACAGGCAAACTAAATCACAGAGAGGACCAGAAGTCTTGCCACACACCTGGGTTCGCCCCTAAGCCCTGCGAAAGAAAGAACGTCTCGGGGCAGTCCGGTTTTCCTCAGCATGGTTTGTGGAGTTTAGCCAAGTAGTACTACCAGTAGAACCAACATCATGCACAGTATGTATGCTTAACGGTCCTAACGTAACTAGTTTCTTTTACCGTCATGCTTTTGCTGGTGTCAATACACAGTGTTACAAGATGGTACGATCGATTTTTTGCTCGCGTCATTCTTAGATGCGCGTGTCGCTGTGATTGCCAAAGCTACCTGCTGCAGCGAGTGTTCCCGCCAGCACTAGCATGACTACCACGAGTATTCGCACGAAAACTCGTGGACCGTACGGGTCCTTTGCCTGCATGATTTCGGTTTATCCGTTTGCATGAGCCTGCCAATGGGCCTAAATCGGCCGTTATTGCTTCTGCCAGAAAGCGCAGTAATCTTCCGTTGTTTTGCAGTGCTACACTTCAGTGTCATCCGCCAGCACCCTTTCGGACAAAGATCTCGACAAGATAGCTTGAGGCTTCCTCATCCTGTGTTCTCGTGGTCTTTAGTTGCCTGTGCCCTGAGAACGCACCGTACGTTTGCCCCAAGCATTGCAAGAGGCTTGTGGCAGAGATGCTGTCCCACGTCTCTGGTATGGACCGAACGACCATACTAGTAAGTAGAGGGGCTAGAATGTGCCATATGCCTGTCCAGGGTTTGACCAAGTCAGGAGTTTTTGCATCCCAGAGAGGACTGGTTCGTTATCGACATGGAGCACTCTCCGAACGAACTGGGGGATGTGCTGCTTCAGCTCCAGGCCAGTTCAACATCATGTGTCAATTTCCTCATATAGCACCGTTCAGCACAGGCCTCGCAGCGAGGTGAGGCCGAACCTGTTGTACGTGTGCCATGGGCGGAGCCTGTTGTCGTCAAGCGGGCGCCGTAGCCGCAACCGAACAGGGCAACCGGTCTTGGGCGAAAGCCAAGGAGACTTCCTTGAAAGCCTGGAAGCTCCTCTGCGTAATTTTCTCAGGTGTTGGACCTTGGAGCTCAAAGCACGCTGCCTGAAAGATCGTTTGCCGGCCATCCTTCAAACGCCTGTAGGCTGAAATGCACTGACGTCTCAGGCCTAATTTTCCCTTGGATCAACACGGCCGAAGAGGCGAAATCAGCTGTCGAGGCTGTGGCCCAGCGGTAGATGTGGTGCGGTTAGTTGCGGTTACTGCGGCGGATGCCTGGCTCACGCTCACTAGCGGGGAGGCCACGCGCTATCCCAGCTTGGGCGGCCTCCGCGGAGCGCCTCGGCCCACTGGGCCCAGAATCCCAGAAAGTTGTAGACTTAGAAGACCGCGGTCTGCGCGCTGTGGCAGGTGATGAGCCTAGCGCGGATGAACAACTACGGAGCGCAGAATCCTCACTACTACAAGGAGCTCCGACTCCGGGGGTATCCCGGGGTACGGCACGTACTAACGTACTGCATAAGTCCACCCGGACCTTCGTAATCAACACCTTTCTCCGCCCCTAAGGAGGCCGGCGCACAGATCTGCATCGCTTCTGCACTTGTCGAATTCGGGTTGACACGGCCGTAGGCTATTGCAAGCCATGTGGCATGTGCGGCATGCTGTTCGTTGCTGTTCTTCAAAGGTAACATTATGCAGATTGAGACCCTGGAGGCATCCAAACTGTGAGACGCGGCCAACCCCAGCTAGGCCTACAGGTTACAGAAGCTTGTGGAACCAGGCTGTCGGCAACATCGAGGACGGCGCCCATGGGAAGAGAGAATACAAACCCCACTTCCAGCCCAGCTGAAGCGCTTCCGCATGCTTCCTCGCAGAGGCCATTGCATCCGTGGACGGTGTAGATGCGCTGTTTGTCGGGCCCAGTGACCTCTCAGCTTCAATGGGTATCCAGACTCAGTGTGATTGCATTCTGGTCTTGCTTCTTGTGGTGCTCCAGTTGAGACATGGCTGGCTTGTGCTGCAGTCGCAATTAAGACTCGCAATGTGAGGCTTTATTGGCCAGCCGCAGCATCCAGAGGTGCCACGAGTAAGAAGCCCACATGCTTCCTGCTGTCTGCCCGGGTGGATCGGGAGCCATGGAAGTCTTGAGGTTCTTAACAGAAATCTGAACATTCTAAATCTGCATCTAAGCAGTTCCACTAGGATTGCAGGATTGCTTTATGATCCGCGCATACAGCTCCGTCAATCTTCGCCTTTGAAGGTGAAGAAGGTTATTGAGCAAGCTTTTTCGCGCATCGTGGCCAGCGGCAAGGTTTGGACTTTCATCGCCTGTCGATGCTCCAGATGTGTGACATGTTTAAGCAGATTATGACATATTCCTGATGCGAGGCAGCCGGCTTCCTGACTGCCAATAAGAGCGATGCAAAGTGGGCTTTGAAGCTCTCGCCTCGGTAACTTCAGTTGTCAAGGTTTCTTTTGAGCTTCTTAGGTGTGGCTGCCAGTTCGTCGCAGTCGGAAGCGACATGCAGATGCTGACGGCAGCTTCGAAGGCAAGGTCGAGACTGCACGGAAGCCGGTTCTAGAGATGGCCATGTTGTCCAATGAAGCACGCACATCGATTTGGTAAACCAGGAGGCTGCTGCTGAGTTCCACGACTTTGCCAGCAAGCTCTGACTGGACCTGCCTTGAATCTTACGCCTTACGCCTTCTCTCCCTAAGCAGAGAGACAAGACGCAATGCCTTCCCCAGTGGCATGGTGTGGTGCGGTGCCATGGGCGAAGATTAAAATCTCTCGTGGCCAGCTCATAGCATCGGGATCAAGTCGTCCGAAGGTGTTAGGACGACTTCGAATTCGCATTAGCCATACAGCCTTTGACAGGTCAATACCTGGTTACGGTGCTTTCATGGGCAAGATTGATGTCGATAAGATGGATTTGGTGAAGTGCGCACTCGAGGCAGGCGTCATTGACATGCGCCCGGTCGCTTGGTCTTGTGGCTAGGTATCCCGGCTGGGTGGATGTCCAATGGAGCTATGCCGACTTACATCCGGGAGACTGCACCTCGACTCACAAAGCCTGATGCCTGCCACTGGAGAAACACGAAGTGGGAGACAGGAGCATGGATCTTGGTTAACAACATTCGTTGGCATCCAACCTCTACTTAGGCATGTGCGCCGCGGCAGTGAGTTTTGCTCATGTATTGTTAGGCCTTGCGCCCCTGATGCACGTTGTAAACCACAGCACATGTTCTCGTCTGCTTGAGGCGGCGCTAGCCAGTGGGTGTAGTTACCTCTTGTGCGGTACAAGAACTACTCCTCTCGCTCCCCACACTGGAGATGCAAAGGGCTTCAGTCTCGACAGCCTTCTGAATCAGTTAGGGGAGTTGGGCGGCACGCGACACGCAGACGCGAGGGAATGGGAAGCTTCAGTGGAGGGATGGGGGAGAGGGCTCGGATCCCCTGAACTGCAGGGAATCCGCATGAATCCGCGAGATTTTAGCGCTGTCTCAGGTTAAACCGTGCAACACCAGCTTTGCATCGGCCTTTCTTGGGATCTGCTCGGTCAATAGGGTTCGCCTCTGGAGTCGTTCCGAAGCTGCCATCTTCTCATAGCTGTTGGATTATTTGTGTGCTGCTGCAGAGCTTCTGAAAGTGCTCAGAAGAAGACGAGCACAGTTGCGATGAAGATGCGAAAAACTACTAGCCTCTTCGAAACTATCATCAGGGCAGTTAGAGTGAACTTAGTGCGGCATCCGTTTGCAGGCGACATTCGCTGTCACAGACGATCTGCCATGCAGGTCCATGTTCTGGGCTTGAACTGGCAAGTCGAGTAGAATAATCTAGCTGGGTACGCGGAAGGCTACTCCCGACCAGTTCTGCAAAGCCTTTGCATCAGTTTTCCAGCGCAGCGATGTGTTGTGCAGAGGGCTTGGGTGTCCCAATTGTTGAGCACGTCAAGCAGTCGAGTAGTTACACATCGTCATGCGATGTCATGCGAAATCCTCGTGTCAAGTAGACAAGCAAGTGAAGTGACAAATAGCATTTCCAGTGTTTCATGCCAGTTGCAACAACAAGAATCGCAAGCACTGGGTAGCTCCAAGACCTGCGGGCATGCAGGTTAAGACTTAACCTTACGTTAACTTCAGGTGATTGCTGCAGACGCTGCGAAACAACAAAACACTCGTAGAGTCGTACAGAGTGTTTGTTTCCTCGAAATGTTTTTGGACTAGGCACTGTTGGGCCTGCTATTTTGTAGATCCAACTTTCTTGCGATCTTGAGGAAGGTGCTGCCATCCGAGTCGTTCAATGCGATAATCAGCTTATCTAAGGCCTTTACATCCCGTTCCAATGGCCGGCTCCTCGGCCGTGTGCAGAGCCACCGAATCTCGCGTGCAGACAGAAAGGTGCACGCGTAAAGTAGAGCAGCGTAGGCACGCATGCAGCCAGGTATCATCAGGTTACTGCGCAGAAGGGGCGTTCAATCAACGTCCATGTGTGGCGACTTGCTCAGATTCGAGCTCTCCTGCTTGTTTCATTTCGGATCCGCACCGACCCATAGGTATTGGCGGCCTGCAGCCTTCAACTCGGCAAGCTGTGACAAGGAGCGTCACAAGCAAGGCATTGGCGTCCCTTCGCCGGTCAGTGTGCGAGGAGCAACAAGCAGTGACCACCTTTGCAGACTGCAGCTGGGGCTACGAACCCAACGGAGCGACTCGGCATGCTTGGGATCAGTTGGCTGCTTTTGGGCCGCATCATGACGCTGACAACAGGGACGACAAGGCTGCTGCTTACTGCTGCTTGCTGCTGTCCCTGATCCCTGTGACCTGCTGACTGGTGAAACGGCTCAGGGGCATCTGGGCAAAGTGAAGAAAGGATGGAAGAAGCCGACGAAGTGCAAGAAGGCAGGCCCAGCTCTTGCAGGTTTACTGCGTCATGCTTGAGCCATCGCCTCGTTGATATTGGAAGGTGAAGAATGTGAAGAAGTCTGACGAGTTGTAATTGCTGATGCACAGCAAACCAGGCAATATGGGCTGCAGTGTACGCCTGACAAATCGGAAAGCCTGTAGCTGAGCTCAACTGCCGTCGGCAGGGCCGGGCCGGCGGTGTGCGACTGTGGTCCTGTGGCTGCGCCTCCACAGCGATGTGGGGAGAAAATCGATTGCACACGAGCTTGCAAACCGCCGCGTTCCGGCATGTCAGGCTTCTCAATCCGAACCGAGGTTACAAAAGGCGAAGTTAGCAGCACGTGGGGCATAAAGCATGATGCCTTGTTCCGCAGCCAGTTGCCCCAGCGATTGAGTGCCCCCTGGCCGTAGAAGGGGCCGCTGGCAGCGATGCTCAGCGCCGCTCGCCGCGTGCTGAGTGGGGCGGCCAGGCTGACTCCGAAGCCGCAAAGTTGGCAGCCGGCAGTGCCTGCTACTGCAGCATGCCAGCTTGAAGCAAGACGTGGCTACCGCCATTGGTGGCGTGTGCTGCCTGAGGATTTTGAGTTGAACTCAGAGTCAATGCCGAAGGATGTGAAGTCTCTCATGGCCAGCAATCCCCAGAACCTGGGCTTCATCGATGCGTACTGGTACTGGAGGATCCGCGCTGAAAGCACAATGATGGATCCTGAGAACTTGCCGAAGAAGTCCTACAACCAACTCTGCCGAGACATGGGCCTCACCATTGTGAATGAACAGGCGGAGAATCTCCTCGGCATCATTGAGTTGTACGAGTACCTCAAGTCGTCCCCGTTCATCGGACCCTTTGGCACCATCGAAAACCCAGTGCTAGTTCCGGCCATCCACACTGAGAGAATTGTCGGCTGCACAGGTGGCACTGGGGACAATGAGCATGTCCCTTTGTGGTTCCGCTGTCGTGAAGGCTTCCTTTACCGATGCGGCGAATGCGACCAAATCTTTATGTTGGTCAGAGTGCTGTACGACCTGCCGGAAGAGGGCGTGCCGATCAATCCCATCGATCCTGATGTGAAGGATGTCTTCGATTTTGCTCTCTTGGAGAAGGGCAACGAGGTTTGGAACACGGGCGGCATGATCAACTGGCCTACCGGCTACGATGCCTTGCATGGCACTGTCTATGGTGGAGGGGCCCGGGATGAAGACCAGCGCGCCATCGGCGAGTGAAGAATAGCACGAGCGGGTTTCAACATGAATCTTATTCCTTGAGCGAAGTTAAGTCATCGACCACGACATGATAGACACGGTGGCACAATGACATGTAACCCTAGGCAGCCATAGAGGGTCAAAGGTCGACTGCTTTGAGCTGAGCAACACCGTCTGTGAGTCGGAAAAGTGAGGTCCATCGTCACGGCTAGAAGTGAGTCTGAGCGTGAACGTGCACCGCATCTTTCATGGCGGTTTTTGTTCCATCAAGATGTACTGCCGCTCTGTTGCTACTCTGGCTCTCCAGGCTTCGTCTTCTTCTGGTCAGGTCTTTGGGTGAAGTGCTGCAAGCGCTCACTCTTTCACTTCAAGTGACGGCCTCAGGATCCATGCAAAGGATCGCATGCCGATGCATACCTTTCCGTTACCGATCTGCCTCAGGTCAGCTCATTATGGCATTGTGGAGGCTCGGTTTTATAAGCTGATTAGCAAGCCAGCCGCGGCAATGTGCTTGGGCGCAAGCAGGTGGACATTGGCCATTGCAGCCATGGTCTCGATGGCTTCGGCGCAGCTGATGCGCAGGGACAAGCCAAAAAAAGAAGCGACTGTTCATCATATGCTGCAAGCAGGATTGCGGCAGGGGCTGGTGAAAGTTTCTGCAGATCGCTTGCTCCATGTGGAAGAAAGCTTGCGCGCAAGCTACGAGGCCTTCCCCAAGGATGCACGGGGAAACGTGCCACCGCATCAGGTCTTACCGGCCCTCACGAGAGCCTACTTTTCCAAGGAGCACGGTTGGCTAGTTCGTGGCTTGGAATCTCCTGGAGCACCTGTCATCGCTCCCGGAGAGTCGCATCAAGATGCACGTCTGGCAGTCACTGCGGGTGGCTTGTACGAGGTTCAGATTCTGAAAGACAAAGCACCGGAGCTTGCAACAGCATTGAAAGACACAGCTCTCAGTCCAGTTGCGGTCTCGGCTGGGCTTTCCCTGGGAGACATCTCTCGCACAGTTGCTGCATTGGAGCAGCTGCTCCTGGAAGAATCACTGCCCCTGCTGCGTGCATCATACTTCCTCAATGGTCTGGACCATCTGGACCTTGCCACCGAACACCTGCCGCCACCTGTGGCAGAGTCACAGGTTCATGAGGTTCTTTTGTCCTACCTTCTTCTGTTCCGGCATGGGCTGCCCAGGAATCTGACAGACTCCGAGTCCCACCAGCGCCTGAAGCAGCGTGCGAAGAAGACTGCAGATTGGCCTTTGCTGTCACAGTTTGAGGTCCAGGCTCTAAATGAGGTTGTCCACGAAACTGGGAAGATCTCGTGGGCGCAGGCTCGCGAAGCTGTTGAAATTATTGCTACGCGATACGGGCGCTGGCAGCAGTCAGAATGCGAAGACATGAAGTCGACATTGATGAAGATGGACGCAGGTGGAGGGCGCGTGAAGCTGCAGGACTTCCATGGATCGCCAAAACATCCGCATTACCAGTTCACGGAAAAGGAAGACTACTTGTCAAAGGCGGGCATATTAGTGGAAGAGGATGGTGAGAAGTATGTGCTCATTGCAAACTACTTACTGGGACCCTCCAACTGCATCGCATCATCTGAGTACTTCGCGGTCTGCTGCCTCAACCAGTGCGAGACATTGGTCAGCCAATTCGAGATGATTTTGCAAGCTCCTGCAGCCCCTGTTGCGCAAATAATGGACGCAGTCGCCCGTCTCAGTGACAACTCGACCACTTCATCCGCTTCGCGGCTCCAGGAGGACCTGCAAATGCTCGTGGATGACACAGGTGCAGTCGTTCTGCATTCGCCGGGCTTCCACAAATGGCTACACAAGGCCCTTCTCAAGTCGGTTCCTGCAAGCTCTCCACGTGTTCCGCAGTAGATGTCCTGTAGTGTTCATTCCTAGGGTCTGAACTTCGCTACCTGGAAAGGCCTTTCCGCTGGAGTGCCCGCGCCCGACGGCGCAAGAGGATGCAGCGGAGGAAGCAGAGCTGGCCGAGGCGAGGGAGTGGCTGGAGATGGACGAGGCTGCACGAAGGAAATGGCAACCTCTGGTGGTCCGCCCGTCGGAGTGCACACGGATTCCCGAGTGGCATGCCGAGAAGGCCGAGCAAGGCTTTCATGAGGAGCCAGAAGGGATGCTGACGGAGGTTTGACAGAGGGATAGCGTATGGCATGTCGGAGCCACTTTGCGTGAAGCTGAGCCCGAGAGAAAGGGGGAGGATAGCTCAAGTAGTTGTGATGAGAGGCTCTTGCTTGTGCACGCGGGGACAAGCTCAATTCTGTGTGGCTCCGAGGCTTAGATCTGCAGCATGCAGGTGGCACAACACCTGATGGTACATCCTGAAACTCGTTGGCCTGACTTCCCGGCCGCAGCTCTATACCAGGACGTCATTGTTTGCAACAAAGTCATCGACTGTAGCTATGGCTTCTGAAGGCAGAGGTAGGCCTGTCGTATTCGCTCCAAGGCTAGCATGTACCGTATCGCTTAACAATGAGAACATCACTTCATGACGGACCTCATGGCGAGGTGCACTTCTCACAACTTTGGGACATATCAGAGCAAAGTGGGTGACAGGGCTAACGGAATGATTGCATGTACATACGTATACTCATGGGCTCAGTAGTGTCCTCAGTGACTCTGAATACTCACGGTGTCAACCCCTGTTTCGTTGCCAGGGCATGATGGCTTGGGCACACCTGCACGGCTTGAAGGCCTCGCCGAAGGCTCTGTTGACCGAGTGACCTGCGGAGCCTTGCTTTCGTCGATGCCTGAGCTCGCGGCATCTCGCGCCAACCGCAGATCAGGTGGACTTTTTCTCCCCCTCCGCTCCGCCAAGCCAGGCCGGCTTAGTTCGGCTGACGAAGCTTTCTTTGGGCCCTGTGTTGCACCAAGTCGGCGAACCGTAATCGGCCGTCGCTTCATGTGCGCGCATCTTCAAGGACACTGCAGGTTAGCAAAAGCACGCATCGCTGGACTGCTTCCTGATGCTATGCAAGCCTGCAGCCACGAATAAAATGTGGGCTGGACGCTGTGCGAAATGCTTCGAGCTTCATGTTCGGCATTTGCAGCTATATACAATCAACGCTTTGACGTGGTCAGGGCTGCTGTGCCAGAGCGCTCGAGCCCATTGCTTCCGGTGAGCTGCTGTCAGACTCCCAGTCCCTCTCGGTTGCTGCCAGTCCCTCTCGGTTGCTGCCAGAATGCATGACTTCCGCCATTGAACGTGTCAACTGTCGTCACGGAAAGCTTGGTAAGGTCTTGAGCACCCGTGTTGATAGATTAGTCATTGAGCGCCACAGTCAGGCCTGTTACGTCCCTGTCACATAAAGGCAGATCTCCTGTCTCAATGTGGTCCCACACGTGAGAGCCGAGGACTACATATGCTGTATAGGCCAATCTAGACCCCGTGGTTTGCCCTCGTCAGTGGCTTTCGACCCGATGCAATGGAAGCACAAGGGGCTACTGCAGCATTGGTGGAATATTTGCAGGTGCCTTTGCTACCATATGCGGGTATAAGTGCTTTAAAGGGAGTTCGGGTAGATCGTTTCGTGTTGGTCCAGCTCGGGAGGTGCAGGGACGGGTCCAGGGACCTCTCCGCTGGCAGGCAGCATACATTCAAGATAGCCCGCTGGAGCCGGAAACTATCGACAAATGGCTCTTGCAGATTCCGCAGCTTGGTTACTACCAGTCTTGCTCATGTACAAGTGACGGCGGCATGACTCATCTTTTCACCCATCACCACGGAATCACCTTGCAAGCAAGGGTTCAGCTGTTTCGCAGGCCGCAGGCCTTACAGTGGACATCCACCGCAGAAGACGACATGCCGCCGCTACATTATGCCTGCATGAACGAGGCCACTGATCCCGGGCAGCCGCTTTGTCCGCATCAGCCTTGATGCTTTCTCTGCTCTTTGAGAGCTTATGTTTCACATTTTCGGAGACAGGTTAGTTTCGCGGGAATAGGGAAGGCATCGCCAGAGGACCATTCGATTTGGACTGTCATAGTGCGCATGAGGGCATATTGTCCTTACGCTAGTACTAGGGCATGCCTTGTGTACCTTCAGTTCGGACAAGTGGTGTTTAGAGTTGTTCAGCAAGACGGCATGGCTTGCAAGTGCTGGTCCGACCCTGGCACTGCGCCTCTGACGCGTACTGTATGCTGCGCGATGCTAGCAGGAGTGCAAGAGGCTGTCACAGAGTGAGTTTTGAGGCATCTGAAGTTTTGGAAATATCTGTGAGTCGAGGCTCTATGCAGCAGTGTCGCGGCTACTTGCACATGGTGCCGATCCGCAGGCATTCTCGCAGCATCAACCAAAAGCGACAGGGCATGCATGGATGTGCGATTCTCACTGCAGGCGAAGGATTCTGACGGGGACACGGCATTGCAGGCTGTTCTCAGTCTTGCGACACAAGATGAAGAGCCTCCCGATCAAGAGGCTGCCCAGGCAAGGCCAGGGGTATGCCAGACTGGCCTCTTCCTGCGCGATCGGTGAATTGCATCCAGCCCGAGGCGCACTATGCAGTCGTCCAGGCGCTGATCCACTGTCCGAAGCAGGACGCGGCTGTTGCTGTTTGCTGTGTGTTTCCTGCCCGAACTTGGAGGGCTGGCTGGGGGCATTCACTTCACTTTTCGGACTCACGAGTCCCAGACTTAGACTGAAGAAGATTGGTTTATCGCCTTTTCGGGTACAGGGCTTCCTGTCGCATGAACGTTGGGGAGCCCGCCAGTGTCATTTCGGGAAGTTTTCGGGGGTGCCCTGTTGCCAGGCAAGGTTTCCTTTTCAGCTGTCCAGTCAAGCATGCCCCTCCACTCCACCAGCGGGTCGCCCAAGTAACGCGGGGGCTGCGCGTCGCAATGACAGCAAGCATCCGGACTTAATACAGTATCTATCATATCAGCGGGTGCGGTGGGATGGGGCTGGCAGGGGAAAACTTTCTGAGTCTCGTCTCGCAGCTAACGTCCGAAATTTGTCGTAGCACTGCTTCTTGGTGTTTGGGGCACAGATTCCGGCCCGTAATTGACTCACGAAGCGGCGACCCAGCAATTTTCTGGTGTTCTTACACCCAATTTCTCAACACAGGAATTCCGTGCCAACAGCTTGTCACTATGAGGAGCTCGGAGAACCTGAGCTCCGGAGCCTATGCAGTTGGCTGCGCAGCCGTGTTCCAGAGAACGGGCAGAAGCAGGCTAGACCCGCAAGCAACACGACGGGTCACAGTTTGGGACTGCAATCTTGCTGTAGGAGCACTGTAGCATCGTACTGGGTGTCTCAGGCACGATGTGCCATTGTGAAAGTGCTTCTGCACGAACACAAATCGGTTGCCTGTAGCAAAGCCATCCGTCATCCTGCTCTGTAGAACTGAGTATGTCGATAAATGGCGTGAATGATGACTTGATGACTGCTGCTGCTGCTTGTTCTTCTGCTGCTGCTTGTTCTTCTGCTGCTGCGGCTACTTCTGCTGCTACTACCAGTCCAACTGGACTCGATGCGCTGTCTTATATTGTTACTACCATTAGCACTAGTTCTGCCACTTCTATTCCTACTAGTACTACTACCACTACGACGACGACAACGACAACAACAACAGCTACTGCTGCACTACTGCTGCTGCTGCTACTACTACTACTACCTACTACTACTACTACTACTACTACTACTACTACTACTACTGTGACTAGTATCCTGACTATTGCTACTACTACTAGTACTAGTACTAGTACTAGTACTAGTACTAGTACTAGTACTAGTGGTAGTACTAGTACTAGCAAATGCTACTAGTATTTAGTAGTAGTAGTAGTAGTAGTAGTAGGAGTAGTAGTAGTAGTAGTAGTAGTAGTAGTACTAGTACTAGTAGTACTAGTAGTACTAATAGTACTAGTAGTACTGGTACTAGTACTGGTACTACTACTACTACTACTACTACTACTACTACTAAAACTACTATTACTATTGCTGCTACAACTACTACTACAACTACTACTACTACTACTACTACTGCTACTGCTACTGCTACTACTACTAGTACTACTGCTGCTGCTGCTACTGCTGTGGCTATTGCAACAACAACTACTACTACGACTACGACTACGACTACTACTACTACTACTACTACTACTACTACTGCTACTACTCCTGCTACTACTGATATTAAGTTACTACTCCTGCTGCTACTATTACTGCTTCTTCTCTCGCAGCAGTGAGTCCGCTCCTGAATTTCTTGTTTCCCGCGTTTTTGGTCCGGCCGAAAACCAAGGAGATAAGAAATTCAGGGGCTGAATTTCTTATTTCCTGTGTTTTGGTCCGGCCGAAAACCAAGGCAATAAGAAATTCAGAAGCTGAATTTCTTGTTTCTTGTGTTTTGGGCCCGGCCGAAAGCCAGTGAAATAAGAAATTCAGGGGCTGAATTTCTTATGTCCTGTGTTTTGGGTCCGGCCGAAAGCCAGTGAATTTCTTATTCCCTGTGTTTTGGGTCCGGCACCCATTGCCTTCGGGCGAATTCCGAAACTCTCGCCGAATTGCTGCAGGAGCCTTAAGCCGTCTAAGCAACCGGATATCAGATCTTCATCTCTACTGCTTGCCTTCGGCAAAGTCTTAAAGCTCTAAGTGCTGTCCTCATTCCTGTCCCTTTTAATTTGAAGTTTTATATCCCGAAGCCCTAATAACCCAAATTTCAAGGTACTGTAGCGTGTTTAGGGTCCTGCGTTTATGGTCTTGGGGGCAGCATTTAAGAAATTGGATAAGAAATTGGGTTTCGGGTAGGGGACCCTGAATTTCTTATTTCCTT